TGTGCCATCACCGACTTTAACAAAAGCCGATTGACAAGTAACATATCTCGTTGTTCTGCTTTAGAGACAAACTGGTGAGTGACTGAATTAGCAGAGTTAGCACGTCGATAGAGAAGAAGTGACACCCGCAGACTTTTTCTCCTCTTTTTTACATGTTTGGTTTTCATTTTACAGTCCTCAGAAATCATGTTTAATGAGGAAGAAGAATGGAGTGATGAACAAGACGCTAAAGTCCTAACCGAAACCGTCCTCAGAAACAACCAGAAGGCGAACAGCAGTACAAATGCCAAGGTACATGTAAATGCAGATAAGCAACCTGTTGTGAGTAAGTTGTAAAACAAATGAGCAAACGCAGTTATTTCCATTATGATGGCTGTATGTTACCTTGAGTTGTGTAAGTGTATCATACAAAGCAGAAAATGGTGCAACATAATGAATGCATGATAGCCAGGCAACTTACCTGCACATTTTCTAAAGTGTGTTTGGTTTTTGTTTAAATTATGTTCCTTGAAACATGCCAGACGGATGGATTTGAATAGGAAAAAAACATAAATTAACAAAAAAAGTCAAAGTAATTATTGTGTTGCTATCATGCCACATTTGGTAACAGAAGGACAAATATTATGTTGACATAATTCTTCCCTCTTTCTTAATAAAACAATTTAAAAACACATTTTTCATTAAGGCAATTTGTTATAAAGGAAGCTATTAATATTGTGTTTTTCACCGTTACACACTGTTTTGAAAGAATACTGAGTATTTAGGTTGAAGGGCTAATTACGATATCTGAAATGTATCCCCTGATCAGGCTAAGCTGGTTGGAAAGAAGAGCCTGATGCGGACCCTGCAGACCCTGGGGTCGGTACCAGAGTGGAAGAACGAAGACAAAGAGCAGGGAAGTGACAGTGAGGCAGAAGTGGTCCCGACACACCCTAAGAGAAAGAGAAAGAAGAAGAGAAGTAAAAGGCGAAAGAAAGCAGAGGACGCAGACCAGACTGCTAATGAGGAGAAACCTGTACCAAACAAAAGGAACAAATATAAAAAAATTGGTGAGTAATTACATGCATTCCATCATTTAATTAATATTTTTGTGTGGATAAGTATTTAAGCGTTGAATATATTCTGAAACAGGACATTTTGATATTAACTATATCAAAATGTATTTCTCTCCCTTAGTGACCCCGGAGGCAGAAACCACATCTGTGGGCAAGACGGAAGAGATAAAAGTGACCCAATCCGACACAGTAAATGGAAATAAACCAGAGGACAATGAGCAACTAAACAGAAAACAGTGGAAAACAAAAATGAAGAACAAGAGGAAATCTAATAATAAATTCAGAGAGAATAAGCATGAGGAGTTAGTCAATAAAGAATCTGCAGAGCCAGACAAGCCAAAGGAAGACGTCAAAATAATTCCAAATACCAAGAGTCAAACTCCAGCAAAGAAAAAGGTAAAGCAACCTAAACCACAGAAAAGGAAAAACCCTGAAGAGGAAACTGTTGTAGCCGCTACAACAGAGAAGCCGGAAATTGGTGGCAAAGTTGAAAAAGCTGAAAAAAAATCTCCTGCTGGTGTATCAAAACAAAAAGCAGAGGAACCTATAGTGGAGATCACAGAGGATCAGCACCCATCTCCCAGCAAAAGACTGAAACCTGAGCTGAGCAAAGCAGAGATTCTGAAAAGAGAGAAGCTGCGCAAAATGCTCCTCAGCCAGCATCAGGTCCAACAGCACCAGGTCCAACAGCACCAGGTCCAACAGCACCAGGTCCAACAGGACGAGGTCCAACAGGAGGGTCCTGCGGAGACGGAAGAGGAGCCTGTGGTACCAGAAGAAGAGGGGCAGCAGGACCGCTCCTCCTCTCTCCGGTCCCGCATGGAGCAGCGTCTGGAGTCAGCTCGTTTCCGCTACATTAATGAAGTTTTGTACAGCACGACCAGCGGAGAAGCAAAGCGTATGTTCAAACAGGACCCGGAGGCTTTTGGGATCTACCACAGAGGATACACTGCACAGGTCCAGAGATGGCCGGCTAATCCAGTGCAAGCCATCATCGCTTACATTCAACTAAAGTGAGCTTAAAGGCAATGTAATGTAATGTTTTGCATGTAGTACAGCATTTTGAGGTTTGTCAAATCTAACCAGGTTTGTAATTTGGACATGGAAGTTCATACTTGACCTTTGACAACAAAGTGTATTTATCTAAGTAGCTTTTCTGAGCATTCAACTGAATCACATAGTCTTCTTCAGCAACTGGCGCTAGCTCGAGTGTCCTCATGTGACCTGAGGGGCAAAATATTGGTTACTTAATTACAAGGAGACCCTTACACAACACTTTGACAACGTTTTGGGGACACTTGAGCTCCATTCGCCAAACAAGACTGAAGGATGCATTATAAAGCTGCAAAAAGATAGTTAGTTGACATAGGATTTTAAATATATTCTTACACATTTTTCAAAGGGTCTACATATATTTCTCAGTTCAGCCCTGTGGAAAAATCAATTAGGTTTCCGACCTCTACGGAGGCTGGTATCACAATCATATACACTGAGAGAAATATAATTTGTCATAAAGTCCTTAGTTTAGTTCAATATATGCTGATGAAGTGACAGTAAATACCATTTTATTATAGCAATACAGCTCAAGTCTTTCCAAACAATTTAAGCAGACCACAGATTCTATCCTTCCAGATCAAAACGCGCACCAGTTTCAGCCTTTTCTCAAGACGTTAGCACCACCTTTTTACACCCTCAAAAGAATGAAAACAATTCAATAGCATTTTTGTTTCTTCCAAAACTCCCATTATCTGCTGTACACAGTACTTCTAACCCTGCTGACTTTTTTTTATCATCTATTTCAGGCCTCCCACTCTGGTGGTTGCAGACTTTGGTTGTGGCGACTGTAAAATAGCGAGCAGTGTGAAGAACAAAGTGCACAGCTTCGACTTGGTGGCTACATGTGAGCTTGTCACAGTCTGCGACATGGCCAACGTGAGTGTCATTGTGTCATTTTTCTGCACGCTTATAAATGTATAATCTGTGAGATTGTTAGAAAATAAAACACCTTTTCTCTTTGCAGGTCCCTCTTCCTGACAGATCTGTGGACATCGCTGTGTTCTGCCTTTCTCTCATGGGGACCAACCTGGCAGATTTTCTAGCAGAGGCCAATCGTGTCTTAAAGATTGGGTAAAGTGTTTGGTGTTATTTATTAGATGTATGGCAGATCGATGTATGAATACTATATGTGTGTATAACCATTTTGCACCATCATTGTAGGGGTGTCCTCAAAATAGCAGAAGTGGCGAGCAGGTTCGAGAACGTGCGGAACTTCGTCACTGGGCTGGCAAGCCTGGGATTCAAGCTGTTGTCCAAGGTGAGGCAAGAAACTAAATAAGAGGACAGAAACACTTTTATGTTTGTCTACTTTCACTAGTGCGATTAATATCAATCGATTAGGCGCATCGTTTGTCACAATTGTTTGAAACCCGCAATGGTTGTAGCCTTTCCTCCTTTATAAAAACCTTGATTAATATACAATTATAACTAGTTTTGCATGTAAACATCCACATTAAGATGTTTTTCGCCAACTGTACAGTCCTAATTAAACCTTCAAAAGTCAATAAAAGTATCATAATTGTATTTTTACTTTTGTGTAGTCAATAAGAGGGAGTAAGTAGCTGGAAGCTGCACCTTTCTGTGGGCAAAAATACATTAGGTAGAAAATATTCCATGCACTCTGTGACAGGGACCTGGCTAAATATATCAAAGGTAGATTAACATATATATGTTGATGTGAATAAGAGTTTACCCACATGATGGCTTGTAGCTTTTACTCAAGCTTATACATAGAGTAACACATCCACTCAGTGACTAACCGTTTAAAGATAAATAATATTTTGTTTCTTTTTTTCCCCCTTAAGGAATCGGAGAACAAAAACACTCATTTCTACGCCTTTGAACTAATGAAGACAGCAGACGCTCCAGAAAATATAAAAACATTTGGACTGCAGTTGAGGCCCTGTGTCTACAAGAAAAGATAAATGAATGTGAAAGGACATCCGTGTATGTCATATTTTACTTACGCAGTTCAGTTCCTAAAGCAATAGTTGTACATTTGTATCAAACTGTTTTGATTGTATTGCTACATTTTGAAGCCTCTGTAATTCACAGTTTTCAGCTGTTTAATTATCTTCATTATTTGTACATGTTTTCTCATGTAATACAGTGCTCTGTCATCATATGCCGTCATTATCTGAGATCATGCTGGTTCCCTACCCTTGTCTCTGGTTTAAGATGTGCTGATCAGTGAAATAACCGTGTGGTGTTTTGTTGGAATAAAACCTACATACAGTTTGGTTGTCCTAATATAATTGATGTCCATCCAATCCAGTTTTTTTTTTTTTTTATTTAAAGGAAAGTAATGCTAATTGTGAAATGTAAAAGAAATACTGAAGACTGGTAAAAGTAAAACATAATATTTGAAACTGTGTAGTGACCAAATGACATCACTGTCAAATTATATCTTATGTCAATTATATTGAGTCATTTTTTTGTACAGCAGTTTTGTGGCACTAAACCTTTTATACAAAATATCGTTTCATTTTGATTACTTCAAGAAACTTTGTTTTACTAGCAAATACTTTGAAGAGTTCTGAGTAAAAACTTAAAAAGAAAACAGATTTTAGTTTTTGTGGCTGTGACTAAAACCTCACTCACTCAGCTGTGTGTGTAATCATTTGCCACAAGAGGGTGTAGCAACACAGCGACCTGATGTGGGCGGGTGAGCTGAGGATGAGTGTGTCTGTATCTGGAACCTGCACTGACAAGATTTATTTTTAGAGTTTCTTAGTCGTCACAGCAGATGGTCCTCACTGATTTAGTTGACCAAGTTTACCACAAGGGCAGATGGTGTGAAGCTAAAGTAAAAGTCTTCTAAATCTGGAGATGGGATGGTTGTTAAGTCGTATGGTAACACGTAAAAAAAAAAATATATATTATGGGTTATTTTATTCAGAAATACAAAAAAAATACAATCTGCATTAAAAAAACATACAAAATTCAAGTAAGTTAAAAAAGTGCCAAAGTAATGCGAGTCAATACAAATTGGTTAAAAAAGAAACAATCTCACAATTAATGCTCATAAAAATACACTGAAATAATGAACAATGTGGCAGTTGCTGTAAGCCTTATAGTTTGTGCAGAATATGTAATCCGAAACTGATTTTATCTTTACACTGTGCTCTTGAGATCGATGACTATGGAGAAATTGACCAGCTGATCGTATTCCTCACTGTCGTTTTCTGTCACTGCTGGCTTCTTCACCTCAGGAGAGCCGGGCTCCTGCATCATAGAGGTCAAGGCCGAGAGAGACTCCTTCTTCTGAAGTATTATGAGAGAAAGTAAGACAAAAAGAACAGTTTGAGATAATTATTTTTAACGTTTTAAATGTGCATCATAATTTAATAAAACCAGAAAAAACACTTTGTTCATGTTAACTGAATCCAAACATACCTTATATTGTGTCTTGCTGTATCCTTTGCTGTAGAACAAAAAACAGATTGTATGAATCATGAGAAATCCTGTGTACACACTTCTGAGGAACTCGTAGGGCTGAACGACACCACTAGATGGCCCTGTGACTCAATCTAACACTGACTTCAGTTCAGATGGACATGTTGCAGGTGTGATGCATTATGCCAGAGGAGGGTCAATGAGACAGACAGCGAGGGGTGACCCGAGGCCTCATCCTTCTCTCTCATGTCAGAGGCAGCAGCTCACTTTGTTCATTCATAACCTCAGTGACAACCCAATGAAGACTGCTGGGGTCAAAATGTGTCCCCAGCACTGGAGGGGGGGTCAGGGGGTTTAACGTTGGTCCCAAAATAGTTTTTCTCCCGGGGAGTCATGTTTTCTTGGTGTACACTGCGTGACTGACCTTCCCAAATTAGCCTGACAGGACCCTCCCACTGGAGCAGGGGATCTGTCAACCAATGGCACCTTGACCAAATGTTCTGACCACAGAGCCAGGCCTATTGAAAATGCTTCTGAACTGCTGTTGTGCCGCACAGTGCAGATTTATTCCCGGCAAGATCTGATCCTGATAAACGGTCCTGACAGAAGTTAGATCTGGCAGTGAATTTGAAAATGTGGAAACTTCTGCAGGCAGAAATCATATTGTTTGTGACAGATATCCCACATCAGTCGTAAAAGACGAGTGATTCACTGTTTCTTATTCTCAAAAGCAAAGATTACAGTTGGATTTGTGGAGTTTTCTCATTGATGAATGGGAGCTCAAATTTCATTATACTAATAACTTCCTGAAGATGTGGACTTTTTATCTTCCCTTTTGCAATGTGGCGTTAGTGATAATGGGCCAACGAGGAAAATGGAAAATAGCTCTGATTTTCTCACTGACAAATGGAACATTTTCTACCTGTCTACAGACGGGGCTGTGGCGGCAGAGGCACCTGTCTGCTTCAGCCACACTGTTTCCTGTTTGTGAATAACAGCCTGATGCTGGGGTTAGTGGGTTGGTTGGGTATGCGATCCGCGCATCCTGTTTGTCTCGTATAGTGTGCCACAGACAGAGTTGCCCTAATTTGCAACACATCACCTGCCCTCTCCCTCCTGTAACCTGTGCAGCCATTTAACTTACCAGCAGACCCACAGGGTGACAGCGAGGATGAGGAGGATAGCCAAAGCCGAAGACATGCAGATTATGGCTGCAATTGCTGAAACACATACATAGACACAGTTGTATTAACCACAAATATTAAACAAAAGTCTCAGAAAAGCTCATATTTATATTTGAAACACACTTCAGGATATTGATATGCTCAGAAAGCCTTTTTTTTTTTTATTCAAAAGATGACAGCTCACCTAGATGTTTTTCCTCGCTCGTGACCTCCACCTGTATGTTGACTGTGGCTGTGTGGTGGTAGAAGGACGCCTGGCAGCTGTAGAGGCCTTCATCCTGCTCTGTGAGCTCTGACGGGAACACCATGGCAACACCGTCCATTTTGACAGATGAGCCGTCACTCCTGAAACACAAGAGATTTTTAACTGAATATGTCTAAAAATCGATTGTCTTTGGTCCTATATCACTTGAAAAGACCAAAACCATCAATGTGTTCGGTCATCTTTCAAATGTTACTGACTTCCTTACTCAATGCTGTCTCCCCCCATAAGTGCTTACTAAATACATTGTTGAACATTTATCCCAACCAATGTGAAGTTTAACTTGTTTGTAGTGAGTTTATAAATCACTCCGGCACTTATGTAACAGGAGTAAATGTGAATAAGTTGTGGGCTTTTTTCAGCCCCGAATACATGTGTGCTCTCGTGATTATTAAGGCTGCAGGGTGTGTTTGGGGAACTGCCCAGGTGTTTTGGACAACAAAAGGACTGTGGAACAAGCTGTATCAGGCCATTGCTACACTGACCATTCATTTATGTTTTTTGTCTTTTCGTGCAATGTGTTAACAAGAAAAACAAGAAAAAAGGAATATCTTCAAACCAACTATTAGTATCGAAATTATCCTGGATGATGTCCATGTCGTGCAAACAATCCAGTTAACATTTTAAGGTTGGTAATTCTTAACTCTCATCAATGGGGGAAACAATTATTTTGTGTTGCATGCAGGTGCTTCCTACTGATGGTTTTCTGAGATAACAGAGGATACACCACCTTTTACAGTTGAGGTTGTACTCTGGTACATTTCCCTCGACTCGGAGCAGTATTCTCTGGTTGTGATGATCCTCCTGGAGAGCCAGTCTGTGTGCAAAGGGTTCATCACCGTAGCGGCTTTGCAGAGGAGTGGTGTGGTTAAGGACTGTCACAGCGGAGATATCTGCAGGAAAGTCAGGTAAACCATCGCTGAATGCATCACTGTGAATTATTGGGAGTTCAGAAGTTCATAAAAGCCTTTTTTGTGTTAAACTCACAGTATCTGGGGATGGGAAGGGTCTTTGTCTCTGTAGCTCCATGTTCAGACTGATAGACACAGGTCAGCTGCTGCCCCTCATGAAGGGCCAGAGGGAACAGATAAGTCAGCCGGGCTTTCCGGACATACCCTTCAGACTCTGAGTGCAGGGATGTCAGGCCTTTGGTGTTTTCGGGAAGGACCCATTTGAGGTTGGTCCCCACACCCTCCCCTGTGCAGTTACACACTGCCAGCCAGAGGGGAGAGTCCTGCTGTCTCACCACTGACACACTCATCAGAGGGGCTTCTGAAAGAGAAAACAAGGAGTGACAGGAAGGGGGTGAGCAGCTGTGTGAGTCACAGAGAGAAATATCTCGAAGAAAGAAATAACGTACTCGGCCCAAGAATGTGTATTGTTTTTGTTTCTGGTGCCTCCAGGCTCAGATGCTCCACCGTACACGTCAAATTCTGACCAGAATACAAAGAAGACAAGAAGCGTGCAGAGCTGCGGGCCGATACCAGACCATCAGCCTGGACCTGGGTCTCAGACAGATAACTGATGCTGTTGTCACTGTTTCCAACATGCCAGGTTATTGTTGCTGCAGGGGCAACACTCTCCACAGAGCAGTCCACCTCTGTGTACTCCACACCATCTCTCCTCTCAGTGCTGGAGTTGATGGTGATGTTTGGGCGAGCTGAGTGGGAAAGAGAAGTGAAACTAAAGGAAGTGGTTTTGAGTAAAAATATAAAATATATGACACTTCTACAGCCAAATGTGTCCAGTACTCAGACAAAATCATCCATTGCATGATTTGTCGAACATACCGCAAAGAGGGAGAGTTATGCTTCTGTTTTCTGGCTCCTCAAACGCAGGGTGATTTATCACACACTCTGCAGTGAGCTCCCAAGGCGAGCAGGCAGGGAGGAGTAAAACTCCTCTGACAGAGTGGCTTCCATTATGAGAAGTGAAATTGAACCAAGAGACTCCAGACACACCCTCTGGTAGAAGCCAGGACATGTTAGCAACGGGAACAGCATCAGCTGCTGAGCACTCAATCACACTGTGTCCATCTTCAGCCCGCAAATCAACCCGTATTGTTGGAGGCACTGAGAAGATAGAAGGATCCACATCAATAATTTATAGAGGAATAATACAGACATTTCAAAATGTAGTCATGGAAAGAAACATATGCAGAGACTTTCACTTACCAGGCTGTATAACTTGAGGTTTAACTGTGACGTTAAACTTCAGCGTTGCTTTAAGATGGTGATATGAGAAGGAACATTCATACAGGCCGGCGTGCCAATGCTCCACAGGACCCTGAACTGTGAGGCTGCTGCCAACCAGCTCCACACCCTCAGGCAACGGTCCATCATCTCTAAAAGGCAACACAAGCAATAACACAAGGAGGAATTCATTCTTCATTTTAATGTTTTACCAACATTAAAATATGAGTGTTTTTTCATTCAGGAAACATTTCTAAATCTGGTTCCTGCAGTCTATCGCTTGTGGTTTGGTGCCAACAGACGTGTTACCACATCCTCTAGTTGTTTCAGTCTATGCGTACAGGAGGAAAAAAGGAGCATTGATGTTGTTTTTGTCAATATGTCACCCCATATTTTTTTTTCTTTGCACGAGACTGCAAAACAAAACAAAACATTCAAAACCTAAATAAACAGTTACCAGTTTCACATGAATATTTCTTACTTCTGGCAGGTGACGTTGTAATGTGGCACATTTCCCGTGACCTGCAGTCTGATGACGGTGTCACTCTGTCCGTCCTTTAGCTCTAAAGATTCAGTGCCTTGAGAGTCATCACTGTTTTTTCTCATCTCTGAGAACAATAACTGAACTCCAGACAAATCTGCAGAATAAAAAGCACATATATTCTCTGTGACTTCTACATCACGAGCATCAGCAGTTTTTCAGAAGCAGAATGCTGATAACACTCACAAAAAGACGGCAGTGTTAGGACTCGTGACACTTTGTCTGTAAATGTAGGATGGTCAAACACACAGGTGACATTGACCCCCTCGTACACAGCTGCAGGGAGGAGCACTGAGCTGGTCTTTGTGTCTGAGTCTGAGTGCTCCTCTCTCTGCAGATCTTCGTCAGTGTTCAAAGCCAAGGCGATGTCGGTGTCAGGTCTCCCTCCAGACGAAATGCACGAGACCACCCAGAACTCACTTCCTCCGTTTTGTACCATCTCTGCTTTAATAGTCACATTTGGACTTGCTAAAAGAGCAGGAAGAAAGGCGAGAAGAGTTATTTTTAATGTTTTTTCCAGCAAATTAAAAAGTCAGATATCAAGTTGAGGCTCAGGGTGTTTTTGTTGAATAGGAGCCGGTGGCCGGATGAGCTGAATGTTAGCTAAACACGAGCCGTGAGGGGCTTCTGCTTGGGTTCTGGAAAGTGCTGACTTAAGCTTATCACCTGTCCCATCTGTTGGCCGGGCTGCAGCTGAGAGCAGATGTCTGGCCCAGCTGCTGTCCAACCAACGCTGAGAGAACCACAGGATTTAATAAAGGGAATCAGCAGAGATCACAGGCTATTAGCAAATATATCAATGTTGTGGCGTTGTACAATAGCCAGCCATTCCTAATGAGTTAAGGAAGGGTGTGTGCGATTAAAGTGAGTTAAGCACTTTAATCGCTTTAATCTGTTAACACCTAAATTATGTGTAGATTTAACCACTGCAGTTGGAGAATTACCTATAGCCTAAGCTGCATTACTTCAGTGGGGTGTGAAAGTATTATGGATAAATTAGCTGGCCCTATCATGCTAATGAGAGCAAAGCAGCCAAAATGCAGTATGTGACCAGTAGGGGGCATCTCAGTTTGAAACCGGCATTCCGCGAGGAGGAGCATTAGTGAGAGCTTTTAAAGATTGATGACCAAATTTAAAAGGTCCTCATGAGCAACATTATACTGCACCACAGGTACATTTGCTAAGATTGGGCCAACTGATTTGTCTGATGTTGGCCTCCAGCTGCCCTGCACCAAATGTCACTGTATACGTGACGGATAAAGAGGAATTCAATTGAATCCTTCATTTCAATTTAACATAAGGCAGGAGCCTAAATGTGTGGTGTAAAATTAAACATTGCTGGTTTAGTTGAGGTGACAAGAAATCCAAGCTTTTGAGTGTTTTAGTATCTTTACTACTAGCTCCTTGTACTTGCTTTAAAGTTGTACATGAGTCGTGTTAGACTTCTAGATGCTAGTGCCATCTGAAGATGAATTATTTGAAAATAAATATTCCTGTGTCTAAATAAAGCATATGTCCTTGTTTTCTACATGTTTACATTCATACCTTATGGTGTGCAAAAACTTTGTTGGTGTTGAAAGTGGGAACTTTGGAAAATAAATGTCACCACTCAACTAGAAATGTTTTTTTTTTGTAATCAATATTTGAGTTTAAAAAAATGGTTGATTAAAAAAAGCAATTTAATTGCTTACTGCACTGTGGTGTGTTAATAATTAGTTACTGGGCTGTTGCTGCATTATGTTGTTCCATATGCTCGACGCCAGTGAAAAGAGTGCATTCCCACATGAATGCATTGCATTGTGCAATGTGATTTATGGTCTGTCACTGTGTATGTCTATAGAGTGGGAAGGAAGGGCCAGTGTGAAAAATCAGCAGGAAAATGTTATTGTGTTGTGAGATGCTGAGTCATGATGCACGTTTACAAAAAGACCCTGACTGGTGATGCAATACAATATGTCACCTCCTGGCAGCACGGACGGAGAAACACAGCAACACTGAAAACATTGAGCTTACTGAAGGTTTCCACCCTCACTGTGGTGAGAGTGGGCTTTGGGAGGGTTGGATGTTGGACCACGCACGTCACGCTGTCCTCGTCTTGCAGGTGGGTGGGGAAGCGCAGGATGCTGCTCAGGGTGGAGGTTCCGTTTGAGTGAAGGGTTTCACTCACGTCCACAGTGAAAGGGTAATCTGAAAGAGGGCGGCTGTCGACCAACCAGCTGATCTGAGGTACAGGTCGGCCACCGAACGCAGAGCACGACACCGCCTGGTAGTGAGCGCCGTTTATAGTCTCTGAGTTCACCTCGACCTGAATATCCGGCCGAGCTGAGAAGAAAAAGTCATGTCAAACCACATTGTCAGTGTTTTTAAAGGTCCCCTATTATACTGTTTTTCATCAATATAGTTTAGGTCCCAGATATATACAGAACATGTCTTTGAAGTGTTTGGCTCGAAATACCAAACAGATCATGCATTGTAGCATCCCATAAGCCCCTCTGTTTCAGCCCTGTTTCAAAAGATTCCCGATCTTTAATTTAGATGAAAATAAGGTGCCACTCTCCATGCCCCTCTGCGAGATATTTGGTTAAAAAAACACAATGGTGCTCTAGGAAGAGATTCAGGTGATAAGGTGGGGGGTGTTACCTTGGTTGGTGATTGGCTAATGGTTACACAAGCCAAATCGTTATGACATCATAAAGTGGCCAAAATCTGATCAGCTCATTTTCAGACGGTTTTTATATAAATGGATCAGGACAAAAAGAGAGTGAATCTTTTTTCATGAAACTTTCAGAATCTCTTTACACAGAGGGGACACATGTTTATCTATAAAAGACATGAAAAAGTGGATTTGGCATAACAGGTTACCTTTAATGACTAAAGAATTACACCCAGCTTTGCTTACCTACTACAGTGAGGAATACACTGTCGAAATCATACTCTTCTTCTGATCTGAACTCACAGATGTATTCTCCCTCTACTTCCACGCTGGACACCTGCATGTGAATTGTGAGGTTGGTGAGAGAGACTGGGTTTGAGACGTTATCACGGCTAAACGGTTTGCCATCAGCAAATCCCGCCAGTCTCTTAAATTTAATTTTGGAGCTTGTCCGGCGTTTCCACTCGGCGCTCTGGATCTGGCTCTCTCCCAGATATATACATCTCAGGTGCACGTCCTCTCCCAGCACTGCTGTGATGTTGTGTCTGATCTCAATAATTAACTCTTCGCCTGGACCTGAGACACATAACAACAAAAAGTTCAGTAACAATCAGAGGTCAAAGGTTTACCTGAGCAGTCCCACAATTGCAAATACTAGGGAAACAGGAATGATGTGAGGGGGTAGGGGGGCAGGCTGATAGATGTCTGTTGTTGTGCTTATGAAAGGGGTTTCTGCAGCTCCTATTGTCTTTTACTAGTTAGGTGAAACTGTGATTAATGAGAATAACCGGGTCATTGGTTATGAGGATCATTTTATCATAATTACAACATGCCAATGACTAATCAATACAAACAAGACTAAGATCCTGTCAACATGCTATGCAGCTCACAGGGGCAATGCTAACATGGCAATGTTTAGCTGTAAGGTTTATCATGTTCACTATCTTATTTTACAGTATTTACGTTGTATAATTAGTAATTTAGCAATTAACACAAAGTACAGCTGAGGTTGATGTGTTTATTTTTGCAGACATAAGGTCATAAACACACAGGTCGGGTTGGGCCAGAGGTCATCTGGAGATTGGAAAAAAATAAATATTTGACCTGGCAATCCATCCAATAGTTGTTGATGTAGAGAAAAAGTCAAGGGGTCACTTAAGTTAGCAGGATACATCCCCTGGTGACCATGAATGTCTGTTCAATATTTAATAGAAAACTATTCTTCTTAACTTCAGACTCCAGACCAAAGTGATGGACCAACCCAACACATATCAAATGAAGTGCATTGATGCAGCACTGTTCTAGTCTTGGTGGCTGCTTAAGCGCTTGACAACACAAGCCAGCATTCACCAATTCACACACTCATTTATATAATGTGACAGAGGCTAAACTTCCACATGCAGCCTGCAGAGATGAAACCACAAACCTCTCTGATTTGCAACCCAAAACTGATATGAAAGTATAAGTCAAAGATAAAGTTGCCCTCTTATAATTGAGGGGGTGAAGACAGGGAATGGACATTGTGCACAAAATGACATTTGGGTAATGCAACGCTGTCCCCTCAGAGTATATTCAATAGAGGACTCCATTATGTTAATGAAATGAAAACAGTCCAAAAGTTACGCCCTGATCCATACCCAGACAGCGGCGGCCGATCAGCCGCGGTTAGGGGAGGATTCAGAGGAAAGGACATTTAATTTGAGCTGACAGGTTTTAACACTAAGGACAGTGTGGTGTGCAGACTCAATGCATACAAAGTCCCTTTCATCCTGCTTCCTCTGCTGACTTTATCCAAGTGCACCTGAGGACACAGTTTGCCCCATCAGCCATCTGAAGCCAAGAACCTCTATTCAGCTTTAGAGACATGATGAGTAAAAGTGTGCTGCCGCATTGCTTCATGGTTAAAAACAGAGCAAACAGCCAGCTGCTGCAGTCTAAACTTAAATGTTTGCATCAAATGCTGTGAAAGCTGAAACTCTGCATGTCTTACTATACATCACAGCAAAATGGAAACAATGTGGAGACCCTCCAAAGCCTTTTAAAAGGACAGGGAGAGAAATAAATATGCTGGATCAGTTCAATTATGCCTTGTGGGTTTATAATTTATTTGTCCTTGCAGGTTACTGCCAACATTTATGTCAGCCAAGCACGGAAAAAGCACACCTTAAGGATACAAACAAAGTAATAACTAAAAGAAAAAATCAGTTATTCATGCACTGCATCATATTTCCTGAGCCCCAGGGCTTCTTTTTCTCACCAAACAGCAACCATTCAACAGTTGTACACAGCAGCTCTTCATCGCAGACTGGGGATGTGGTAAACAACTAAGGCTTTCGACTTTAAAAAACACATGCTTAAACTTTAATCTCCAGCTACAAGTCTCTGACTCTGCAGAAACAAAGACTTCATAGTGAAACTGTACAGTAGGATCTCTACATAACTGTAGGCTGCCAAGGGTTTCCCCCTTACACAAAGAAAAACCTTAACGACCCTAATATATTAACTTTTAAAGGCTGTAAGGAAACGTATGTGGTTTTAGGTGACACCTCTGGTCAATAGTAATAAACTGACTGCTGGAGTGCCAATGCCAAAATGCCATCAGCAACATATTGCAAAAATAGTTATTATTTAGTGTGTTCAAGATGCATTCAGCATGTGGCTTTATTGCCTTTGTGCATTTGTAATTGGACTAATCACATAGGAAAGCCACAACAGCGCTGCTTAGTGTGAATGCCACAGGTTAAACAAGCCCTTAAGGACCAGTAAAATAAGCCTATAAACAGCTGACAGTCACAGATGGATTGTAACCCTGCAGACTCACCCAGAATGTCCGAGCAGTGAGCAACATTTAGGACAAAAACCAGAAAAAGCAGCCCTGAGCGTCCCATGATGGTGTCATCAGAGCTGGATCCGCATCAACTGACTGTATGTGAGGCATAAGGGTATTTAAATTGTGTCTGCCTGTGTGTGTGTGTGTGTGTGTGTGTGTGTGTGTGTGTGTGTGTGTGTGTGTGTGTGGTGTGTGTGTGCGCGCGCGCGCGCGTGTGTGTGTGTGTGTGTGTGTGTGTGTGTGTGTGTGTGTGTGTGTGTGTGTGTGTGTGTGTGTGTGTGTGTGTGTGTGTGGTTTATGGTTAGAGGTATACACCCTCTACAGCTGACATGAGGATGTTTGTGCCTTGAGGTGTGCATGTTTGCTGCCACTCAAACACCCATACGTGTACAAGGTTCTTTATTAGTCATACAACCATAGCTAGTTATGTCGATGAAATTCTTAAGTCACAGGCTTCTCCAACAGTGCAACACAATATTACAGAAAGACAGAGAAATATAGTGCAAGTAAATATTAAAAGTAACTGCAAAAAGAAAGGAACAGTTTAAAAAAAGTGAAATATTGAAATAAGGGTCTATATGCAAGCTATTTGAATGATATATTAGGTAAATAGATAAATGATTACTAAGTAGCAGAATGTTATGAATGTTGTTACAGCAGTTCAGGTGTTTAACTGTCTTATCGCCTGTGGTATGAAACTGTCTCTGAATCTGTTGGTTCTTGCCAGGATGCTGCGGTAACGCCTGCCAGACGGCAGCAGACAGAACAGTTTGTGGCTGGGGTGATGGGGGTCTTTGATAATCCGTAGGGATTTCTTCCTGAGCCGTTGGGAGTAAAGATCCTCCATGGATGGCAGCTCCGTCCTGGTGATGTTCTGTGCAGTTTTCACCACCCTCTGTAAAGCACATACACACAGTATTTTAGATGTGCATAATGCCACTTCTCCTTTCTTGCTTTCTTAAAACAGAAACGGGGCTTTTGTGTTTCATTTACGCAGATTTACATGTCTATCACGGTTTTCCTTTCAGTATTTTGAGGCACATGCACTATGAGTGTGTTCAGTGACTCTGCGACCTCTTGTAGCAATGCGCCTTGGGAGGTGGTAAATCCATTCATCATTCATAACATCATGTCCCAGCGTGGGCACTCAGAGACTGACTGTGTGCAAGTTTGGGAAATCATTCACTTCTGGATATTGTTTTATAGCGTAATGCCACTCTTATTCACTTGGAGATTTATTTTTCTTCCTTAAGACTTATTTGCTCTGTGCAATTTGTCACCCTGCGACAGAAAACTGCAAACAGAAACAATGTGGGTAAGAAAGGTAAAGATGTTTCCACAGAGCTGCACTGCATTTCAGGCTGGTCTTTGTGTGAAGTTGACAATTTCTATTTCCTGTTAAAGTTCATCAACTTTAGTGTTGAGTCATCAAAGATCACACGGGGATGGCAGTGAATGAAATGACCTGACAAAAGGAAGAAAAAATTTCTGCCAACACATTTTGATTTTGTGTGGTTTGTAACAGCTTTTTGAATCTGGTATGAAACTAGCGAGTCATTTTGCAGCCTGTGAAAGTTGGTTTTACAACAAAAACAAAAGTTGACTCATCCTTTCTCAGCACACACATGAGCCTTGTACCATTTCGTTTCAATATATTTGAGAGAAGGCAGACTCCATGCCTGATATCTCCAACACTATAGGCAACTTCCACCAAAACTATCTGGATTGTTAAATAGCACGATGAGTATGGGTAAAATGTGTATATATGTGATTTTAGGGGTGAATTGTTCCTTAAAAGCCTAATTCATATCCTTTTATTTTGCATGGCAAGAGACTGCATCCTTTATCACCTGAATCATGAATCTAAGACCAGAGGAAAGTGCTTAAGCCTGATCCAGGGCCTGCACATCTGCTCAGGGTCACAGTTAGTTGTTTAATCCCTAAAAGTGTTTTTATATCGTCATGCCTTCAAAGGGTTTTGTATCAAAGTGTTAGTTTATCCTGCATGTTGAGTTATCTAGTTTTAAAGGCAGATTGAAAGAAGGTGTTTATAATCAATATTTCTGTATCAGCTTCTGAGCCAGTTAGATGAGAGGTTTTGTCTGTAAGAAATAATCAATATTAAGCTCTTTTTACTGCCAGTGTTGCTCTGTGACTTGATGCTGGCGATGATCATATCTCCGGAAGGTAAAACACAGTCCGGTCTCTTACTGAAGTTTCATGCAACATTTGATCTTTCAGGGTAAACACTTGACACGGAATCCAGTCTGTTTCTAAAATCCGGTGTAATCCCATGAAAATAAAGCCAGTGGTCATTTTTTCCGGCTGATTTAGTTACCTGAAGTTCTTATTCCCTGAAGTTTAAAAAAGGAGTCTGGAAACCTTCAATATTTTTTCTATACTGTCTGTGAGCTAATGCATTTTACTGACAGTGGATTGTTAACATTTCACAGACAAGGTACTTATAGACTTCACAGATGTACAACTGGAAACCTTTTCACCTTGATGGCTTTCTCTTTATCAAACTCTCTTTGGACACATGGGCGGAAATTCGGCTGGATAAAAAAAGGTTGTTGGTGATCAGCCAGTAATAATGTGTGCAGTGAAGCACCGGCAAGGCTTTCCTGTGAAGGGTTGTGTGCTAACCTACTTAACTCTGTGGAACCTTATCATCACTTTCTACAGAGGAGGAAAATCACTGATCATTTGCAACATCTCCTCCTGCTGTTCTTCATTTACAGATAAATTATCACCAAAACCCCCAAACACACAAACACACACACACACACACACACACACACACACACACACACACACACACACACACACACACACACACACACACACACACACAACACACACACACACACACACACACACACACACACGCGCACTGATGCAACACTTGATTAATTTCCTCGCAATCTGAGTCATATAACAACTGTGGCGTGTGACACTGCTGGCATTTGTGCACAAAGTAAAGTACAAAAGATGTGAATTAGATATATCAGTACCATCAGCATGCACCAATGTCTCGGCTTTATCCGAAATCAAAATGTAGGACCACTCACTTTGACAAAGACATGTGTGGTCTGCAGAGGAAGGAAACACAATCTGTTTGGTAACGTTGTTTTTTTCAGAGCATATGTCGGTAAAAAAAAGATTGTTTTTAATTGTGGTTTTTGTGTTCAATTTGTTGAAAGAGTCAAGGAGACATCTTTAAATGTAAACTGTACACCCAGCTTTTTAGCCTGGCTTTAGTTTAAAAAGGTTATATGCAGTAGTAAAAAAAAAGTATAGATGTATTGACAGCCACATTCAAACGTACTTCAAATAATATTTTTTATTTAGTTTTTTTGCACTGAAACATGTTACATATTATTTTTGCTTGATGTGTATAAAATAAAGTGTAAAAAACAAAAGTTGTAGTTTTACAGGGACATATTTTTCCACTTTTGGAGAGAACCAAGCTAATGTTAGCCGTTTGCCCCTCTTTCCAGTTATTGAACGTTTTACTAAACTAAGCTAACTGTCTGCTGGTGGTTACTTCTTAATCTAGGCTTTGATTTATTGTTATACAGTAGTCGAAGAAGTAACATTAGGACAACTGAGAGCTTTTATTTTGAGTATAAGTACCCATACCTTAATGCTAAAAATATTCAGGAATTCAAAGCATTCAAAACTATAATTAGGTAAAAGCAAACTAGTATTATCAGCCAAATGTATTTGTGGTATCAAAAGTAATTCCTTACGGAGCACAATAGCATGTCATTGGATTATTATGTTGCATTACCTTAAAAGCAGCATTTTATTGGAGCATAAAAAGACACTGGAAACTTAAACATTCATTCACAAAACATCCTGACCTTGTTTTTAAGAGCACATAATGGTTACTGATGCATTTGATCAGCTCCCATACATCCATAATTAATCCGTAATCTTCTCATAAATGTTTATGTCTTGTTGTCTGACAAACTTCTAAAGTCACAATACTTTTTATGCTTTTCAAATGCATCACTCAACAGTACGAGAGCTCAGTGATAACAGTTATTCTGTGTGAATCATTGTTTTCGATGAGCATTCTGTTGGACTTTAGTAGCGTGAAGTGACTCATACTGAAAAAGTGATTTTTACTGTCAGGAACAACTAAGTCATTAAAAACATGCAGAGTTGCACTTGCTGTGGTGCAATAGGAAGCTTCCTGAAACTGCAAGCACATCAAGTAAGTACAAATCTAATGAATGCAGTTTTTTCAGGATATAAGGCTTTCAAATGTCAGGAAAATTTCCTTTTCTCTATAAGTCATAACTTCTCTGATCAATCTTTAATTCATCCTGCAGTGTGCGTTAACAGTTGAGTGCTTAATGGTTATTTAGTTCATAGAAATCACTCTAACAATAATGCTGCCAGCTTGAAGACCATGCATCTGACGTTCAGATCACAAGCCATTTATGTACTTCAACTGTTGAGGTCGGACTGCTGAGTGCTTAATGGTCATTTGGTTGATGGAAATTACTCAAACTCGCTCATGAAGAGTGGAGAGGCAGATCTGTCCATTACAGTAAGTAGAGGATGGAGTTTGGAAGAGTGTTTGTGATAAATGATACAGCTTTGAAATGCGTTTCAGGGAAGTGTAGCTCTTTGTTTTCTCAGGCAAAAATCAGAAGAGTGTTTCCTGCCAGATGAACCCGACACTTTGGTGGCTTGTGTGAGGACGGGAGGATTAGTATCGTTCCAGGGGTGAAAGAGCGAGCTGTTGGCAGAGCATCAAGTGAGAATGTAAGTGAAATGGACAGCAGATGGCTCTGGTTCGTGCACCGGTTGTTTGGGACGTGCTGAGCTGGGCCTGTGCTCCCCTCCAGACCTGGCACCCGTCCTGGCTTCCCCCACCACAGGACCTTTCAACCAGCAGGCTGCAGGTCTGTGCTAATGCAACCTGTACAACTCCTATCAGGGCTGAATTACTAAAGCCCACCCAATAAGTGGAGCAAGTTATAATGAAAGAAAGTCTTCATGAAGCCCAAAATCAACCCCCCTTGAAGGTTGATGCAGTTTTTCTGTCACAATACACATCCATTTCAGTAACATTTGGGTCTTGTATATTAC